TATATTTGAAAGTTTAGGATTGTTACATGCAACCTCAAAAAAAAATATTCTCAAACAGTTTATGTTCACATTGCTATGATACAATAAAAACTAATAAAGTAAGGCAACAAACTACTTTATGCAATTCTTGCACAAAATTAATTTTCATAAATATATGAATATGTTTTAGCTACAGAGAGAGTGTCTACAATGATATTTGATATTCTCAACAAAAATATGGCATAACATAATTATAAAAATGAATTTACAAAATCAAGATCATGAAATTTTCTCACTTAAAGAGACCAAAGCGATAAGTATGCAAAGTAATAACAATTATTATGCAAATAGAATATGTAGAAAAATCCTTAAATTATAAACCACAAAAATGCATGCAATTGTTATGTAAGCCTTTATACAAATAGTTGGTGTGTGCACAATAGTTTTCAACTGTCCATGATCAGTAAAGAGTACATAACAATAAGGAAGTTGATATCATATCGAACTTTCCAAGTAGGGAAAACACCATCAAGGATCATAGTTATAGCAACGGATGGCAAGGCATACAAGAAAACATGCAAAAACTTGTTACATACTTAGATTCTCGCTACCAAATAAAAGCAAGCATGGGTGCATAGCTACCATACACAACGTAGAAGAATTTGGGCAGTCTTTACAACAATATTTTTTTTTTTTAGTTACTGAGTTTCAACAGCAATTATGTCTCTTTGTCTCTCTCTAAAATTTCAGCAACATCTCTATTTCTCTCTCTAAAATTACAGTAGCTTCCAAGAGAGATTTAAAGAGAGAACATCTTAAAGTTTTGGATTGGTTGAAAGTAATTCTTTCTCCTTTCAATACAGGTGATTTTGTTGAAAGGAAATTATGTAGAAAAATATAAATCCCATGCATAATAAAGAAACTACCAAAAGCACATAATATCTTAGAGAGAAAAAAAAAAGAGTTTTCTTTGAGAAGCCTTAAATGTGCTAGGAGGGATACATGTTCACCTATTTGGGTTTAAAGAGTCAACAAAAGAAAGGATCAAGTAAAAAAAGGTTTATAATAAAATGACTTTCTGGGAGATATATCATGATCAATCATGCAACGCGAAAAAGTTTACGATGAGTGAACTGGATATAATACATAAAATAAAAACTTCCGACACAAGAAAACTTAACAACAATGCCAAAAGTTTCTAAACTTAAGAGCGAACTGATAATGCAAAATATTGATGCGGCACCAAATTAGTCGACAATGGAAAAACCACAGCTTAGGCAATTGTAACTCATAGCTCAGGCGACAGCAGTAGAGAGCCAAAATTGAGAATAAAACATTTACAACAGTTTTACTCCAATACCAATGTTGAACTTTTGAGGGGAAAAGAAGTACCTCCTTAAGTCTTAGGAATTGAAAGCAATGTCGTAAGACTGTGAATCGCAAAGATCAGGTTTTACCAGAACAATTGAGCACTCAAATTTTCTCTGTATTCCTTTCCATAGCCATGAAATCTTAGTTATAGAGAGATAGGAAGAGGCCGTTCTCCAACGTTTGGCTTTCTTCTTAGAATTTCTGATAAGGTAGCCTTTTTTTCTTGAAAGGTGGGTAGCTATTTTCTACGTGTTGGATAAATATTAAAATGCATTATTAAGACAAAGAGAGAGAAATATGGCACATGTGAGGCCCCATGGCTACCCACACGTACCAACAGAGACATAGTACTAAGAAATTCAACTGCTACCGTTTTGACCCAAGCGCGATTCCAATATAAGACTGTCAAAAATACAAAATTTCAACACATTCATTATATGAACTCAATTACAAGCACATGATCAAAAGTTGAATTTTTCAATAAGCTCATATGTCCCCATGTATTTTCTTACTTCCATCCACGTCCTTTTGGGTCTTCTACTTGAACCTTTCACTTAAACAACAGCGCACCTCCTTACCGATGTTGTATTAGGTCAAAGTTGTACTGGTCAACTCACCTAAGTCTACTTTTCTTCATCTTATTACCTAATGAAGCCACACCTAAATGACCTTGAATGTATTCATTTCATATTTTATCCTTCCTTATCTTGTTATTCATCCATCTCAACATCATCATCATCTCAACTGCACTCATCATATAGATATAGATATGTTGTTTCTCGACCGCCCAATATTCCACCTCATAAAATAAAACTGCTCTCACATTTGTCATATAAAACTTGCCTTTCAGTTTTCTTGGTATGTATTGATCACATAAAACTCCGGTTGTACATCTCCACTTTGCCCACCATGCTCTAATTCTTTGTGTGACTACTTCCTCAATCTCTCTATTTTTCTAGATTATCGATCCAAGATATCGAAAGTGTACTTTTTTTGGTATATCTTGGCCATCAATCTCAATTGTTTGCTCATCTCTACTTCTATTATTTCTAAACTGTAATTTTATATATTTTGTCATGTTCGACTAATTTTAATCTTGAGTATCCTTCCAAAATTCAACTATTGTGTTGATGTCGTTTTGGGTCTCATCGATCAAAACTATTTCATCCGGGAATAATATGCAGAACATTACTTCTTCTTATAAATGTCTAGTTACGTCGTCGATAACTTCTTATAAATGTCTAGTTACGTCGTCGATAACTAAGAGAAAGAGCTATGAGTTCAATGTTGCCTCTTGATATAGACCTATTTTTACTAAAAACCCACTCATTTCTCTACTAGTTGTTCGTACACTAGTGAGTGTTCCTTCATACATATCTCTCACCAAATTGATGTAATTTCTTGAGACTCCTTTCTTTACCAACACCCACAAATCAATTCGCCAAATACTTATCATTAGCTTTATCTAGATCAATAGAGACCTTATAGAGGTCTTTTCCTTTAACCTTAAACTTTTCAATCAATTACCTAATTACCTAAGTAGAAAAATAAACTCGATTGTTCACCTTCTTAATATAAAATCGAATTAATTCTGTGATTCATTTATTTCGTGTCTTAATAGTTGCTCAATCACTCTCCTACCACTTTAATGTGGAATATAAGTTTCATCCCTTGATAGTTCACATAATTATGTACGAATTATTCATTCTTGTAAATAAGTAACACATTTCTTTGCCTCAATTCGTCTAGCATTTTCTTGTTCTCAATACCTTGTAGAACTACTTAATTAACCAGTCGATGCCAATTTCCCCTATGCACCTTCAAACGTCCATCAAAATATCATTTGATCCAAAAGCTAAATATATCTATGACATCCATCTTCATTTATGCCGATGATCCTTTTTACAAATATGTTCCCATTGTGTTCGACAATTGGTCCTAAAGCTAAATGTATCTATGATATCCATCTTCATCTTCATTTATGCCGATGATCCTTTTTACAAATATGTTCCCATTGTGTTCCACAAATCATTTTTAAAAATAAATTTTCCGCTTTTGATTAATTAAGGCCGAGTACTTATATAAACTACACAAAATGATTCCTTTCCATTCTTTACAAAGTTGGCTCAAATTTTGAGCGATCATGTCTAATTTAAAAACAAATTAGACAATCCACAATCGTAGCCTCAAAAGAACAAAATTACTTTACCAAAATATCAAAACCCAATGTTGTAGGCTCTAGATCAAAACCGACCTGATTCCTACAAAATATAAACAAAGCTAATTTCCTCCATAAACCAAAGAAAACCAACCCATTTTTACTTTGTAATTTTTCAATTTTTTTCAATTTTTTCCCTATTATTTTTCAAAAAAATTATTAGGTGTACTTGACCGGGCCAACGACTGATCCCAAGTCACTAATCCATTTTTTTATGGACGCGGTTTCCATGCAGCATTAAATATATTTTCTATATATAATTTGATCCTCATTTTTTTAGAAAAATATGTAATCTTGGAGAAAATGAATATAAAAAAATTGCAAATTTTTTCAACTTTATTCTAGATCAAGTCAGTTTTATTAAAGGCAAATACTACAACCACATCTCAAACATAACATCTTCACATCCACATCTCAAACATAAAATTTTTACCACTACTCGTAACTTATTTCTCCCAATACAATCAAACAATTATTTTCCATATTCATCACAAGTAATACTGTATTTTATTTTAAACAAATAAAACTAAAAAAAAAAAAAAGCATCTCCCAACTCTTCATACAACTAAGAAAAACATTTCGAAATTTTTTTAAGAAAACGAAAATGAAATCATTTCCTTGGGTTTTAATGCAAAGAGATTATGACAATTTGATTTTGTTAATATCTTACCAACAAAGAGTTAATTTGATTCTACTTTAAACCATTTATACTTACCATGTTTGAGCTTATGCACTACAAAATACAAACCCATTATGAGAACCACAAAATAATGGAGGTCCACAAAGTAGTAACATTGCATATATATATATATATATATATATGAGAAGTCTTGCTGAGTAACCAGTAACCAGATCAAAAAAACAGGCACCACACCAAACCAACACCAACACCCCCAACCGCCATCACCACCATGATATCATCTTCCTTCCCACAAAAACCAAACCAAACCCTAACAATGTAAACCAGAGTCTATAACAACTCACATAACCAAACCCTACCTAATCACTTAATCTAGTTCCTCCAGCTACCTTCAGGAGCACCACCGCTCCTTGAAGAATAGCGGGAACCACCACCACCACGGCTATAACCGCCACCGCCACCACCACCTTCACGATTTCCATAGCCACTGTCACGGTTATAGCCACCACCATCACTTCTGCGCCCATAGCCACCACCACCACCACTTCGGAATCCGCCGCCGCCACCACCGCTGCCTCTCGACTGAGCCTCATTCACAGTAATGTTGCGACCATCGAGAGTCTGCCCATTCATTCCCTCAATTGCATCACGCATGGATTGCTCGTTGCTGAATGTGACAAAACCGAAGCCTCGGGAGCGGCCAGTCTCCCTGTCACTAATTATCTGTTGAGATTAGATCAAGGGAGTTTTGTAAGGTCCAATATTTCAAGAAAAAGCCAGTCAAAAGTAACATTACGATGGTTTATGAACCGATTGAAAAAGTAGAGTGAAGAAAGCAGCTCAAGTACTTTCATTCCTACAAAGATCAGTAAATTATCGTTTAGCAAGAACTATCAAAAATTTAATTACTATAAGCAAAGTAATTCACAGTGTTTTCTTAAGCACAGTATTTAATGGTGTTTTCCTCGAGAGGCGAGAGATCAAAAAGAAAATAAAAGATCCATCATCGATCGAAGGAAGAACATGAAAATCAGAGCAAACATCAATAAAATTAATTTAAATAGAAGATAGAAAACCCAACAAGACAGAAAGATCGGGTAAACATCCAAAAGAGATCTAGAGCATCAACATTTACCAAAACCCTAAAAAAGGGAAAGGGAAAACACACACAGAAAAAAGGAGATAGATCCAACCAGCACACCAAAAAGAAGAAACATAACATAGAAAGAAAATTATGGCAGAGAGAACCATAAAAGGGAAATATTCACAGATAGATCGGATTCACATAATCAAGTCCAAGGAAAAAGAGAGCAGGTGAGAGATCCATCTATAAAACTTAATCAAAGCCAAAACAGAGAGATAGCGTGACAGATTCAGTCAACAGAATAAAATCATCAAAGACATAAATCAAATAGAAGCAATACACAGAAATCTCTGCACAAAAATACACAAACCACACGAAACAATTAAAGAGAATACATCATCCGTGCAACCAAATCAAAGGACCATAGGGGCTGAAGGCCTTCTGGCACCATAGGCACTGAAGGGCTTCACAGTTATTAAAAAAAAAAAAAAAACACAGAAAGAAAATCGATCGTTACAGAATAAAAGGAGGACAAACCTTTGATTCGATAACATCGCCATAAGCACTGAAGGCCTTATCAAGAGCCTTATCATCGGTGGCCCATGCGAGACCACCTACGAAGCAGCGGAATTCAACATCTGCAGAAGCCATGGATTCCAAGAAACAAAGATCCAAACCCTAAAAAAGAAACAAATATCCAAACCCTAAAAAAAGCTTAAAACAATAAAAAGAAAAAGAAAAAAAAAAAAAGAGAGCCGAAGTGCAGAGAGAGAAAGAACCAGAGAACGGAGGGGAACCTCCGAAGCGCACAAGAAACCCTAGATCACCCTATCGCTCTTATTTATAGGATGTCCTCGACTGTTTAACCTAACCGTGGTTAAAATCTAACTGTCCTGATGGGCTGAGTTGCCGTCGGTGACGACTTCCGTGCGAAATTTTCCAATTGGAAATGGCCACGTAATCATCTTTTTTTGTTCGAGGGTCTAGGGACCACGCCCACTTGATCGCTCGCAAAAATATCTTCTCTCTCTCTCTCCTCTTCGTCTATCCTCTTCCTCTCCATCAATTTTCATAAAACCGATATAACGGAACGGACATAACTCGTCTCTTCTAATTTCATACAACGTTAACGTAAAATTGTTGTTTCTCCATACTATATTTAGAAAATTCTAAGCTCATATGCCTTTTCATAAGCTTGATTAAAAAAAATTTGAAAAAATGCAGGTAAGATATTGACTACTTAATATTTTATCTGCATATTTTGATCTTATATCAAAATATCTAAAAAAAAGGTAAAATTTTAAATAGTTTAAAGCTAAATGTGTATTTTGACAATTTTCATTAAAAAAATTTCTTTGATATTTGTTTTTTTTTCTCGACGTATTTTTCTTTATTTTTATTCCTTTCTAAATATCTCTACTTTTGACCATGAAGATAGAAATAATAACATTTGTAAACAAAAATCTAGAAGATGACTTGGTCCTTAAGATCCAAAGTGGTGAACTTCAAAACTTTAAGGCCGGAATTTAATTAAAGAGAGTTCGTTTCAAAACCTCAATATTCGAAGTCCATCCAAGGTCTAAAGTGACTGAACTTCTGACCTTACAAATCCCTAGTGCTCTCTAAAAGTTTAGAGATTACTTTCAATTTTCAAGATCTGAAATGAAAATATTTAAAAATAATAATATAATAATAATAGATAGTGTAAAAGTAGAAAACAAAAAAAAAAGATAAGTTCTATAATAACATATACTAAACAAGGACGTGGGCATAAACTTTTTATATTTTATGGGGTTGGTTTGTATAAGGCTGAAGCGTTAACAAGTAAGACACACCTTCAAAAAGTATCGAAATATGTCATTTCAATACCGATAATCTTTATGATGGCCTAAAAATTTATTTTGGTATCTAAGTCTAAAGTTTATAGGTTAAAAAAATAGTGTAGATCAAGCATATTTATGAAAAAAATCTTGAATTAATAGTTTGGATAATATATTACAACATGTACTATTTCCAAGATTTACAATCCTCTTTTTTACGGCTATGTATTTAAAGGTTGAGATGATTGGATTTGAAGGTTTTTCGACATCGAAACCATTACTTCTAGTAAAAAAAATTCATCAAATGCCGCTTAGTTTGATTTTTTAGAGCCTCGACTTTACATAAAGGAAGAAAATTATATAAGTGCGAGGCTTTAAATAATCAAATTAAAGTGCACTTAAAAAATTTCATTAAAAAAAGTTGTTTTGATGCTTAAATATCTTCAAATCGTTTATCTCGACGTCAACATGCATGGACATAACAACAAAATAGATTTCAAGTTCTGGAAATAGTGTATCTCATAATGTATTTTTAGACCGTCAATTTTTAAGATTTTTAAATTTTTTTAGGTCCGTTTGATCTATACTATTTTGAAGCTTTAAATTTTATAATTAAAAATACAAATATATTTTTAAAGCTATCACAAAAAAATTCAAATTTAAAACCACATTTTTTAACACTATTTAGAAGTGCGTTTTGCTTTGATTGATTAAAACGTCAGCTTTATACAAACCGTACCCATACATAAATTTTATATTTTTCGTGACACCGAATATAAGAGCCACACGACCGTTTTAGGAAACAAAGTCCTCTTTAACTTACGGTCTCTCTCTCCCTCTCTAGAGTAGTGATGATAGTGCGATGAGTCATGGATGGGTGTGATATGATTAATTTGCTCGTATCCTTATCTCCAAAAACCTGCCCTGCGTCTTCTCTCTCACCATCTCAACTACACCTGGGGTCCTTCCCATTGATGAAAGGGGAAGCATACGATGATGATCCATATTGCCACATCAAATCTCCTAAAGTTACTCGTTTCATCACCGTCCAAATAAATAGTTAATGGTTATCAACAAAATCATGTGGTCATAGGTGATGAGTTGAGAACGATACCGGTTATCAGCGCGGGCCCGGCCATTGATTAGATTAAGATACGTGGAACTCGTCATACCATTTTTATAAAAAGAAAAAAATTTGGATGTAGGAAAACCCTCTAATTGATCATTTTATAAATATGAAAGGGCTTCGAATCTGCAAAGTAGTGTATCTTGCAACAAATTATTTGGAACGAACTATTTTTATAGTCTTAAATTTTATAATTAGAGTTAAAAATAGATTCTCAAATCATCTTAAGAATTTTTTATATCAAAATGACATTTATGGTAAAATTTAGAAGTACGCCTTAATTGGATTGTTTAAAGTTGCAAACTTATGCACCCTTGATAAAAACCAGAGATATATTATAGAAGAAATTCAATTTTAAAAAAATAAAAATTCAGAGAAAATTATTAGAAAAGATAGTCAATTTTACATTTTACAAGAAAGTTATTTTACATTTTACAAGAAATACTTTTACTCTAAAATTATCACAGATCCCAATTGGGGTAACTTCTTTTAATAAGAGATGGAGTTGAAATTGAATGTATGAACCGCTCCACTTTTTTTTTTTTTGTTAGCTGACAAATTTAGATATCCAATGTACGAATCCATCTCCCGCTTAAAAAAATACAATTGAACAAGTTTAGACAACCAATATGTAAATCAACCCTCGTATAGTACTTTTAAGTGGGAGACAAACTCAGACATGGCTATCTGAATGCCTCTCTCACTTAAGGAATTTTAAGTCGGCATGTTTGGACACCTAATGTTCTAACTAAACCCCTTGGATAGGGGTGGCAACGGGTGGGGTCGGTCTGAGTCAGATCAAACCCAAAATAGTAAGAGGGGGACCCAGCACTCGACCCAAAATTAATTTGGATTGGTACCCGAAACACAAATCCAAAGTATTGATACATTGAAAAAAAAAAAAAGGTCATTTTTAAGTAAAAAGAAGTTGACAAATTTATTTAGGAAAATTTTGTATATAACTCTAATTCCTTATATTATTTCATGGTAGACCATCTTTCTATTTTTCTTTTAAGCGGCATAAAGACACCTTAAAGATTTCACCATACCCCCTCATTTCTTATCTTCCTCTTTCATTGACTATTGATCATAAAAATTAACCCCAAAAAATCTTTTTATATCATTTTAACCCAAAAACTTTTTTAATGGGTAGAAAGAGAAAAAGATAGTTAAAAAAGTTTTTGGGTTGAAATAGTATAAAAATGTTTGTTGAGATTAATTTTTATGGTCAAAAGTCAATAAAAAAGGGAGATAAGAGATGGGGGGATATGGTGAAATCTTTAAGGTTTCTTTATGCCGCTTGAAAGGAAAACGGAATGAGGGTCTACCATGAAATAATATGAGGAAATTAGGTTCTATATGAAATTTTCCCAATTTATTTTCATGTGATCTCCTACCGTGAATTTAATTAAAAACATATGACTCATTTTCACCTTCCAATGTCCTCTCTCTCTCTCTCCATTTGAAAAAATTCCTGGCGCATCACGAACGAAGAACTAACAAACAATGTGAACATACGAACTTACAAATGTGAGAAATTCATGTGTTTTTTTGCATTAAACCTGTGGGAGAAAATTCGATATATGTAAATAAAGATGGTTGCATTGTACAGCTTGTGTGATATACAAAAAAAGAAATAATACATCATGCATGATCATCGAAAGATCATTCTATCTATTAAAGAAAAGAAAAAAAAGAGAGTAAAAATACACAATTTCACACTTCCCCTCAAACTTGTGATGGTCGGATCATGCTGCTCTTCGTGTGCCACCATCTCCTCTTTGGATATTTTTTGCTTGCTGGAATTTGTTAGATCTAAGGTTATTTCACATAGATCTAGGTTCCTAAGGCTTAGAAAGGGGTTAAGGATCTTAGGTAGGGATTTTCCTAATTCTTCTAAAGTTGGGAGATGGTTTTCCCTAATTTTTTAAGGGATTTGAGGGTCTTAAGAATTATTTCAAATTTGGGATTTTTGGGTAATTTTGGAGAATTTTTCTCTTTTTTCTAAATTTATATGACTTATATAAGAGTTTTGCCTATTTTCTAGGATTTATCTATAATTTCTAGGGATTTTCCTAACTTGATTTTCCAAGGATTGTTCAGTGTATTTTTCAAGAATTTTGGAGAGGATATTTATAGATTGAGCTAGGCTTAAGTTTGAAAATGGATCAATTTGATCCAAGGGTCCATATTTAGTCAAATATGCTGAATTGTTCGAATTTTCTGGAGTATTCAAAATTTTCATGGACTTTATCATATTTATCACAAAATTAGGCAAATATACATCGCATAGGCTCATGGGATCGCACGATGTGTAGCCTGTCATGCAGTCGTGCACGACACGAGCCTTGTCGTGCAGCCTTAAGCACCTCGATGTGTGCGGTCCGAGTGTGGGGGCATTTTGATTAATTTTCCTCTGGCTCTTCCCGAGGATTTAGTTTGTTAATGGTGAGTTCGATTTGAGTGATTCTTTGACTGTTGAAAAACTCAAGGTCTACTACTGTTAAGATTTGTGAGAGCATACATGCACAGACATTGAATAGGGAGAGAATAAGAGAGAACACAATATTTACGTGGTTCAGGTCGAAGCCTTACGTCCACGGATCCAAAGTTCTAACGGACTGCATCTTCACTGATTTTGGATGATGATTACATCAATAAATGCCTCTATATATAGATAATAATAACAATGAATCTTGGAGATAGAGATAAATCGTAGGAGGCCTTATCACCAATAACCAACGTGATGACCAAGCAATTTGACTTGGTCTCTTCTTATCTTCAAGACTCTCTCTCAAGTTGGTGGACGGAGATGTGAAGCGAAGTGCTCAACTTGCAAACTAAAATAGGAATTGGAGTCTTGAGAGCAAAAGTTTCCAAAAAAAAAAACT